AATGACCCTGTAGAACCAGCATATCCTCTGCTGCAAATTATAGTTTGAGCAACAGTGTTGAGCGCAATCATTCGTCTTTTGCTTTTATTTGTTTGTCAGATATCTATAAATAGCCAAGGTCTCTTTGACTGAGCATTATTTGCTGTGGTTATGCACCGTGGCATCTTTTTGGCGCCACAAATACGGAGTTGTATTTTAGAACAGCCACATGTTCAAATAAAACAGTTCTCAAAATTTTCGTAATAATAGTTATAAAAAGATAATTCATCCTTCAAATAAATGCATATTTTTTTATTCTTTAAATCAAAATATAATTCGATAGTATTTATTACATCTATGAACCATGATGAAACTATGTCAACATTTTCTTTAACTTCCTCAATAATTATTATTTTTATTTATTTAGAAATATAATAATCTGTCACATGAACAATAATTATAGTGATATATGAACACATTCACACCATATATACTGAAAATATAAAATTAACAAAAGTACAATAATAATCAAAAACTATGAACAACAAAAAAATGAAATAACCTAAAGATAAGTAAATTAAAAACATAAAAACACAGTCATACCTAAATACAATATATACAAACAGGCAGGGGACCCCAACCCAGGCTTCTACCTCCAACCATAGAAGGAAAAGCAGGACTCCAAGAGATCCCTACGGTACTCTCTCAACCGCGTCACTGGTGCTAAAGCCAGTGGAGTTTGAGCGAGAGCGCTTTAATTATTAAAAAAAGTTTCGTAAAATGAAAAAGAAACTATAAATTCCAATGATATTAAAACTTTATAAAAATAAAAGTTTTTTTTCGGTTTGAAACCCTGGTTTATAATATTATGGTATTATGGATAGTATAATGGCATGGTTTTATGTACAATATTAGTAATATGAGTCAGCTACTAAATAACTACATGTACAGGGTGTTCCGAAAGTAGAGGGAAATTTTTATAGGAGTGAAATCAGACATCTAGAGCTATAAAAAAGTTCATATAAATAATGAATCAACTTTTAGTAGAAAAGTAGCAAATCCAAGTGTTCTGTTTTTAAGTCAGCTATGTTTTTCATTGAATCGAAAGCAATGACTAAAGAAATAATTAATCTAAGTAATTAATAATTGCTTCATTGTAAACAAAATGAAATTTACTTTAAACGAACATAAAGTTTATCATTGTTATAACCATTTACGGAGGATTTTTGGGTGGCTAAAATAAGACAAGTTCTGTTTTTAGAAAAATCATAAATTATTTACCATTTTTTTATCATCATCGAACTATACTACAGTTTCCCCACTTTTTAAAAAACTTCTTCGTTTAATAAACTTTACGTTTGTATTAATTAAGTTGAAGTTTATAAGGGAAAATTTTGAGATTCAGCTCAAGTTTAGTACAAAAATGATATTTTTTATCCTGTCAAGTAAAAATATTCCTATTTTCAGCAACAATGACTAAAATTAATTGTTGCAAAGCTTTTATTTTTCATTTTCTGTGATTTGGGATGTATTATAATAAACCCAAATGCATAAACACACATTTTAATTATAAAAAAAATAATTCGAAAAATACTGATTTTACCAAATGTTTTCGGATAAATTGGTTATAGACAGTGTTTTTAATTTATAAATTTAAAGGACTTGACCTGTATTAATGAGTGACAAAATAAAAGTTCCTAGCTATAAGATTTATATTTGAAATTTTAAAAAAAATGCTCATAGCTTCAATTATTTGAATTTGTTACCACACTCACCTTGTGAAGTCATGACGCCTTCAATTATTGGTGCTACATTTTTAATCCAGCTTTACTTCTTCCTATCTCTTTGGGCAATCGATAGTCCAGGCTCGATACAAAATATCGATTGAGTTTTTTAAAACAGGTGATATAAAAAAAAAAGAAAGTTTAGAGTGATAGAAGATTGCAGTTTAGCCGCTAACATAAAAAATTCGCAATTTTCACCCAGCGCATAACAATTGAATGGGTTCTCGCTGTATTGTATTATTTGTGATGGAGTTGCAACTCTTTAAGTTTTTGTTAATTGGCAAGCGTGATTTTATTTTATGTATTTTTCGTTTATAAAACTTAATCCTTTTTTTCTTTATTCTGTAGTAAGTAATTTTCATGCAGCTGCATTTCTCATTTTTATATAACATTACTTTTCTTTTGTATATTTGTTAAATTTTATTACTCATAGCTTTTGTATTTTTTCTCCAAATAATTAGAGTGTTTATTTCTATTGGTGTATTTATTGAGTGAACCTACCAGATCTGGGCGTCTCAAAAGTCTTCTGTAAATGATTTTAAAAATGATAGACTTTATGTTTATTTAAGTAAATTTCATCTCATTTACAACGAAGCAATTATTACTTACTTAAATTAAATATTTCTCTAGTAATTCTTCTGTTACTCTATTATTTGTATTTCTCTATTACTTGTTTTTATCTATTATCTGTATTTCTCTATTATTTGTATATATATTGTATGAATGAGAACTTTTAGCCTTAATATTTATAGCCCTCCAACAGTGGCTGATTGTATTGTTATTCAATAAATAAAGTTAAAGTCTTTAATAGTTAAAAAAAAAAGTTATTCCTTTCGATTCAAATAAAAACCACGAAACTTGGATTTGCTACTTTTCTGCTGAAAATTGGCCCATTGTTTATATAGATTTTTTGTAGCCCTTGAGTCTGCCATCACTCCTATAAAAACACTCTATGTATTACACCAAACATTTTAAAAATTTTAGCAGGTATTAAAAACTAGTATGTTTTCGAACACTATAATTAAAGTTTACAATAAAATTAGAACTACGCTAGCTCAGTTGAAGGTCGGTGAATTCCAATGCTAAAGGTTCCAATTTCGAGTCTGACTGATGGCAGTTAAATTATTTATTCTTTTTCATCGGTTCAGGATAGATCCTTGGGTCAGGAGACCCTCCTGGGGCACGCTCAGCCTCCATAAAACCCATAATGAAATAATTAATTAATGGGGAAAACCTTCAGCGTGATCTCAGTTAAATCGCCTCCCTGCACAATCGTTGACCAAGAAACAGTACTTCCTCAGAAATTACCGAACCTTCATGAGTTGTAGTGGTACAGTTTTTTTTTTTTTTTACAATAAAATAGCACATACAATATTCATCACTATATACTCTCAAACGTTTCAAAACTATTGTAACTAGTTTTCAGATGAAACCCTCACTTCAATGGACTACAGATTTATAAATACAGGCCAGTAATATACCCCGCTGGACCTCCACACAGCCGCGAGGAGGGAGGTGATAACGTGATATCAGGTGAGGTCGGGAACACGAGATGTGTCAACAACGCAAGGCGCTCCCACGGAGTGCACTCAGCCGACCTCCAGTTGCTGCAGTCAGCCTCTTGCGTAATGCAGATTATGTGAAACTGTATGCCAAGGCATTTCTTACCTAATAGTGTCATTGTAATTATATATTAATTAGAACATTTATTTCTAAATATGATTTTGTTTTCTTAATTACATGTTTAGTAGACTCAAAAGACAAGACTTAACCGACGATACGGCCAGCTATACAGACTACTAAACAGAAAATCTAAACTTTCTATTGAAAACAAATTACTGGTCTACAAGACAATCCTGAAACCTATTTGGACCTACGGACTTTGGGGGACAGCAAAATTTTCAAACATCAAATGTATCCAATCCTTTCAATCCAAAGTCCTCCGGACAATAGTCGATGCTCCGTTCTATGTAACCAACAAAACCCTACATCAAAACCCTAACTAGTTCCACTCATCCGTATAACCCTCCTCGAAGGTTGAAGCGGTAGTGGTCCAGAGATCTTTTATAATTTATATCTTGGAGTTCTGGCAATGACCAGATTCTCCACTCAAGACATGAGTGTATGTGGCTAAAGCGCTCTCGTAATACTGTATACATATATATATATATATATATATATATATATATATATATATATATATACAGTATTACGAGAGCGTTTTTATATATATATATATATATATATATATATATATATATATATATATATATATATATACAGTATTATATTTTTCGTTTTACAATAATTATATTAATTATCACTCATTATTTTTATACATAATATAATCTACTAATATTTTTTTTTTGGGGGGGAGGAGGGGGGTTCATCCTCTCTCTCTCCCACTACCAGAATGAAAAGCTTGTGATAAATATACATAATACATGGACTAAGTGAATTTTAACCATGAATTACTACCATACAACGTATGGAATGATTGAGTAATATTTGCCAGGTTAAATATTTTTTGAACGACAGATATAACTTTATTTTTTCTTATTGTTTACTTAGAGGTCACAGGTTCTCCATTTATTACATAAAGTATCAACCGCATTGAATTTAATATTTAAATTAAATGGTTATCTAAAAGAGAATCGGGTGTTTTACGGTTACCTAGTCAAGTAGTTGGAAAGAATTCCCTGAACGCAATTCGAGTTTATCCATAATTGGAAGCGGTGAAACTTATTAATAATTAGTCAAGTTCATTAAAACCTGAATCTTCAAAATTAAACTAAATAATTCAATAATAATTATGAAAATGCACATATTTTCGTGGCATACTAACAACAAACTACATAAAGTCAACATCTCTCGTAACTACCAACTTCTTAGGGAAATTATCAAAAATATTTTTTTTTAATTTTACGCTCTAAATACATGATCATCATCAAGATTAAATTCGTAATATACATTGAGCGTAACTTATATTTATTTTATTAATGTAATACATAATTATAATTCACACTAAAATAAAATTTTATATTTTTTATTTATTTTATAACTAACCAAAAATTCATTTGTATATCGAAAGACATACTTAAATGAAATTGTTTTCTGTTTTTTTTTTATTGCATAAATACGTAAAGATTAAAAAACAACATATGTTTACACGATTTTAATTTAAAACATATATTTGATATGTTTTACTATTAATGACAGTTTAAATATAGCTTTCGAATAAAACATAAAATAATTAATAAAATTAATTAGTCAAGAAGAAGAGGAGTGTGCTGTTGAAGATGGCAGAATATAATTGACAAGCTTCATGAATAATGAATGAGAGACAACTCGGTGATCGTGATCCCGAGGTCATGATAAAGAAGTGGCATCACACCTCAATCGATAAAATGAAGTGGCTGCTAGTGGCATGACATCGCAATCTAGTAAATATCTAACATACATGTATGTATATATATATATATCCCTCTATTACATAAAAATGTTTTAGTGGCCGTGTCATATTTATTTAAGTATGACCGTAACAAAGACGCCACACTTCTTATTCTCTGAATTATTTCTCCCTTATTATGGTTTCAAATTAGCAATAAGGCGCGATGTATAATACAGATTTTTAAAGAAATAAAAAAATTGTCTGAGCGACGGTTTCGTTGACAGAAGCCCGTTTATTTTATGTTGATAAAAAATAATTCATTGTGAAATACAGAATACATGTCAATTATAATTATACAATTTCACCAACAAATAGTTCAATTAAATGAACAGTTGTATAATTTGTAAAATGGGGATTGGTCCACCGCTAGGCGTATAGGGTATACCCTCCTGGTATGTATTTTTAATATAAATTTTTTAAAAATTTATTTTATTCTAATCTTATTATTTATTGTGAGAAGTTGTTATTTTATATATATATATTTTTTTTTTCTTCAATTCTTCATCCGCACCTGTCATGGTAGTGACAATTAGCAGATTTGTTGTTAGGTAGAAAATGGCATGATAGGCATGACGAAGAATGGAACCCAGCAGCACCTCTTCCCTGGTCTGTTAACATCCTAAAATCAAGAAAGGAGATCTCTTATCCAGCTCCAATCTATAACACCGGTGTTGAAAATTACTCAGATCTTGTGTCGTATTCACAATCCGATTTATATAATTGTTTATTTTTGTGTACTTTATAGACTACAACTACTAATCAACTCCCTCTTTAAGTACCTTCTCCAACTTAAGTACCTTAAGTCTAATTGTAAATCAACTATAACATCAACGGTGTATGATGTTAATAACTATAATATGTAGCTATTTTAATTTTTAACTGCACAATAAAATATATTTTTTCTTTATTTGTTAATTGTCTTTATTATTATGGTTTCACTTTTCTCTTGCAACTATAATAATTAGCTACGTTATAATTCCTTTAATCATTCTGTTAAATCCATAATTTTAAACATTTAGTTATATATATATTTTTTTTCATAACCCCTTCTTTACTTATTTTATTTTAGGTCTAAATATTCTTATTCTTATTCATATTTTGCAGACCAATAATACTTTATAATAATGTAATAATATGAATGAATAAGATATGAAAAAAACATATATATATGTAACTAGGTGAGATATTATATCAAGCACGACAAATGTATTTGTAAATCCTGTAAACGCTTTACGCTAAATAAATAAGTATTAAAATAAAACTTTTTACGTTCAAAAGAATTTTAAAATTGTAAAACTAAGGAATCAACCAGCTTATTTTCTACTTTTATTGCTTCAATGGCGGTATCGTTGTTACGTAACACAGCTGTATTTGTCAACCATTTGTGTTAAGTCAATCTACTACCGATACCTCCCGATTGATGTCCTCAATATCACGAACTCATACGCCTTCGACTAGTGAGATCTTGTATTTGTAAGTGAAACCTATATGTTGTATAAACGATAGGTAGAAATTCATATTGCAAATGTAAAGATAGTAAAAGATAAACTTAAAAAGATGAAAATTAAAAAAAATACGAGGAAATGATAACCTATGAGGTAGTCTAAATTTTCAAAAATATTCCTCTCAAGTTAATAAATAACATTAAAGAGGTTTACATTAAAAGAGATATTACAATAATAAAAACAAGCAAACGTTTTTAGTAGGAATATTTTTTTTAAATTTATTTATTTAATGAAATTGAAAACTGTATAAAGAATACAACTAGTTAAAATGCACACATTAGAAATCATGACATGAACAGACTTGAAGAGATACTACCCAGAGGTAGCACTCCATATTTAAATTCTAGGTGAGAAGATCACGAGGCCGTCTTCTTTTCAGACGCCTAGGGGGATTATAAGGAAACGAGAAAGAAACAAAGCAGGAAACAATTGGATTCCGACGGAACTTAAATTTATCATGAATGGATAGGTATTTGTCTCGGTCTAATCAGCGAGTAGGAATAAAGAATTAAAAATAAATTAGGAATAAATCGTAGGAACCGTAGGAAAACGGTGAAATGTACCGCCAACTTTTCGGATTACCAATGGTAGATAATTTAACAATTTGTTTATCTGGTCTGATAATATATAAAATTATAAATATTGTAGTGCAATAACAGATTTAAATAGATTGAAAGAAGTGAAGAAAAAAGTTTATAAGATGATATCTGAGAATGTTTATTTAAAAAACGTAATGAGTGGAGTTTGAGAATCAAATATTAAGGAAGGTAAAACTGAAAACAAATTAAATAATATATTAGTTCAGAGATATAGGCGTAGAAAAGCAACCATGTTTGTACATTTCTGTATAAAAACAGAGGATGGAATTAGATAAAATTTATACTGTCACATATTTTAGCGTATCCATGACTTCGAGCCTAATCCAATAAGACATGTGACGTGCTCGTCACATAGATACGACAATAGATAGACACGAAACCAAATTTATTTCTTAATGTGCAGAACGAAAACGCGAGCGGAAAGTTTATTTTCCGAGTACAAACATTTTTTTTTAATCTCCTACATGTTTCAAAACTTCCTTAACTTCGGAAGAAAGAAAAAAAAAAAAAACCTGAACAGAATAATAATAGCAATATACAATGGTTGAACATAAGAAAAGCATTAAGTTCTTAGCAAATGTTAATTTAATATGTATAGAATTGCTACACTATGATCCAGCGCTTTAACTCATCTCAAATGTAAATTTATAAAAGAACCTCTCGGAATTATCGCCGCCTTCACGGGAAAGGATTCCGACCGACTCTTATCAAAGAGTGAGCATGTTCAAGTAGATGATACGAGTTAAAGAGCCATTCGAACTGAATAACAAATTAATTCGCTGAATAACTACGATTGTCCCACGAAAGCTGCATAGTAATTGAAGTCACCCAGTAGAATTCATATACCTTTTTTTTTATATACGAGTTACTATAAGGAGTAATGGAAAATGTTTAATCTTCGTTTACAAATTTATTTACGAAAACTCTTGGAAATGGGACATTTTCAATCTGGGGATCGGCAAAATTTGTCTTTTTAATGAGATATTAAAAATTCATAAATAACCATTTATTTGCTTTCCACTTCAATCGTAAGAAAGATAATTCGAGCAAAAAAAAAGGTGGTCTTTAAAAATATAGAGCCGTTTTTCGTGATCTACACCTCCAAGATGTCAAAATAATGAGGTTATATGGGCCAAACGGCTCAATATTTTTTTATTGCACATTTGTTCTCGTTTTTATGATCAAATTAACTTACGATCAAAGAGGAAATCAAATGTGTATTTAAAAGTTGTTAGAACCTAATTAAATAGACAAAGTTTGCCGATCTACAGATTGAAAACGCCTCAATTCCAAGAGTTTTTGTAAATAAAATATTTGAAGGCTACGATGAGATGAAGCTATTCATGACGTTTTTGGCGGATCTTAATTATTCAATAAAAAGGGCTCTGTACCATGGACTATTATTTTTTAACTTAAATCGCATTAAAAACACAATCATCATTATAATTTACATAGAATATATCAAGATGATTTTTAATCTTTCTATTATATAAAAACGTTTTTAGTGCCTGTCATATTTTATTATTTCAATCTCAAGAAATTTAAATTATGTGATTCTCTCTCTTATATTAAAACGTTTTAAGTGACCGCGTAATAATTTATTTTTCAATTGCTACAAATTAAAATGCTGGAATAAATACTTGCTTACACTATATTGATAATGATAATACAATCTGAACTATAGAATACATGTAAATTACAGTTACACAATATGAGCAACGAGTGGTACAATTAAAAGAACAGTATAATTTTATAATTTATAAAATTTTAATATAAAGTAATAAAAGTTTAATATGTTCTATGTATGTAAATTATTATTATGAATTTTGTTTTTACTTTTGCGAAGATTACTAATGATGATATTAGTTCATTTGTAATAATCCTGGTTTTCATAAGTGACATTTTACTTTGTTAAATATAAAAATAACCACACCATAAAAGTGGTGGATTAATAATTGTGAATCTGATTGAACTTACAAATAAAAAAAGAAAAGGTTGTTGAGTTGGCTAATCGACGAAACGTTCAAATTTGTGTAATTTAAAATAAATTTAATAAAAAATCTGGGACAAAAGTCAAAATATGTCTATTTCCACATTTATTTAAGTCTCAACCAAAGTAAATTTAATAAAATAGAGAATAATAATAAATAATTACGACTTGATAATTATTTAGCTTTTATAATTAATTATTATAAGTTATAAAAATGTCACAGGTGGAAAATGAATAAAATAAATACTGCTGGACTCAAACATGGGCCATTCAGAATAGGAGCCCAGATCCTTGCTCATAGAGATACCCAGCAACTACTAATCAGTACCACCTAACTAATACCCAGCACATACTATAAAACGTCATTAAAAAATATATTTCGATGATACATGTTTATACAGACGGTAGGAAATTATTTATAGAAAAAAAATCATTGATGACCATTTTTTATTAAACAGAAAAAGGGAACATAAATTATATGAATGAAGAGTTAATAAATGTTTCTATTGGAATCCTTGAGAGTAGCGGATAAATTTGAATAAGAAAAAAAAAATAATAAAATACTTCTGAAGTAACATAATATAATATGAATATTATATTATATTATTATTTTTATATTTGTATGTTAGTATGGCAAAAGGGAAAAATCAGGTGAGTCACTTTTTTTGTTTAATTTGATTGAGATATTGATATACATGGATGTATAATGAAAAGCATCATTCTTCCTGAGAGATGAAATGCTAAAAAAAAATTCACATAATACATTGAATTTATTTATTTAATATATAAATAAAGCTTTTCATTCTGAATCCATATATTTATTGAAAACAAGCGAAACATCTGATTTTTCCCTTAACATTCATGTTTAAATGGTTATTCAACTTAAAAATAGTTGATAAATATATTTAAAAATGAACTGAAAAAATAAATATCATAAGAAAAATAAATAATTTTTTCCATACGATAATTCAAATCAACACAAAGTGTAAAAATGTATGATATTGAAGAAACAGAGCATTACGAGGCGATTCACCTTGTAAACATTGGAGAGTGAAGACATGTTTAAAACATGGCAAGACGGCGCTAAACAAGATGAAGATACACGCGACACCCAAATCCAATTTATCAGCGACCACTTATGCAACGAAACCGCAAAACAGAGCTCTCATAAATTCGATATTCTTCAGCCTAGTTTCTGTCTAGACCACTCCGTCAATGCCCTCTAAATCTAGCACATAGCTGTCATACATAAGGACATTGAGCTAACATATTTACAACTGTTAGTTAATTCAATTTTAAATCAAACAAATTAATATGTTAATTTGAATGAGTAAAAAGTAACAAAAAAGCGATGGTTGTAATTGGTATCGAGTTGGTTATAATAAGAAAAATTCCCACACAGTTTATATCTCTTAAAATACAGGTCAACGTTTCGCAGGTATCATCAGGTATCAACAGTTCAAAATAAAACCAAAGATCACATGGCATCCAATCCCAGACTGCATATGACTTAAATAAGAACTTAATATTAGTTTGGAACCATGGTTTTGGGTATTAAGGGGTATAAAGAGCCCTAACAGAGCAGCCTCGTTTTAATTAGAGTTCCAGAATATACCCGCTGAACTATATAGATATAACTATCTGAAATATCAAGCTAAAATAATCTGGGACCTGTTTTGGGAAAGCAATAATGGACAAAATAAGTCGAAGTTTGCTGAACGAGCGACTAATCATGGAAAAGTTATATCCGAAAAAAATAAGAGAGAAAGTTATTATAAACATACCAGTAGTCCTAGAGCCGATAAATCTACAGTAATTGATAAAAATTTTAAAAGCATTTTTTTATATTAAAAACATTAGTATACCTTGTAACATTTATATTAAAAATATGACAGTCTACCAGTCACATCTCGCTATCTGTAAAAATGGCAGCTGATATAAAGAATGTAAGGCCAGGAACTTGAGGATCGAAAAGAAACATTTATTGCGAAAAATGTGGGAAAAAGTTTTTATTATTTTAACTTGTATATATGGGTTTAGATATGTATTATTATTATTATTATTATTAATACATAAACATAAAATTGGGCATTAAATTAAATTTGCGATCTGCAAATTTCTTTGCAATGAGCAAATTTTTTGGCAGCTTCACAGCGTCCCATCACAAATTCAGGAAATAGTTCAGTTCAGCAGGTCTCTTGGCCACCGCCTACATAATCGCCGAGGTGGGCTGTGCGGGTTTCTAGTGCGTTAAAGGTTTTCTGTCAGAGGATTTATGTTGTAAGTTAGTCTTTGGTGAAAGTTATTGTAGTTTTCTTTTGCAGTGTCTAAAATTGTTGAGAAGTCTTTATGTAATCTATCCTTTGCGACATAAAATGGTGCGTCAACTATCCTTCGTAAAATTTTAGATTGGAAAGACTGAATTTTTTATTATAAGAAGTTTTAGCAGAACCTCACAGTTCTATACCATAAGTCCAAATTGGTTTAAGTAAAACTTCATAGATAATTAGTTCGTTAATCAAAGATAATTTTGAACGTCTATATATGTACATTACATTAGATATGTAAAAAACAAAATTGCTAACTTACAGCCAAAAAAGCCAAAATATTTTCGATTTTTTTTTTTTAAATATAACTCCTAAATGGTGTATTGAAGCTAAAAACGTCCTCTTTAGAAAATAAAATAGAACGTTAAATTACGCGTCGAACGAGTGCGCAAACTTAATAATTTGGTTAAGTGGTATGGTCGATAAACACGGTCGACGAACGTATTTTTTTTATTAAATTCGTTAAAAACTGAAACAATTGACAATAAATGGTCCTTTAGCTTGGAAATGAGTTCTCTAAAAGAAAAAAACTTATAGAGTAAAAGTTGTAAGGCATCAAGTTCCGCTTCTACTGAGTAATAACAGTTTTAATGTAGGTCACTTACTCCGCTGGAATCGGGATTCGTTATTTCTTCATGAAGTTCGTTTATACAAGTTCGTATACATATATACATTACACATAAGTTGTATATACATTACACGTATATACAAGTTCAAACAACAACAACTTTTCGCAATAAATTTTCCGTTTCGATCCTTAAGTAACTTTTCTAATATTCTTAAAACCAGGCGCCATTTTTACAGGTAGCAAGATTTGATTGGGAGATTCATATATTTAATATAAATGATATAAATATTTTAAAAAATGTTCTCAAAATAGTCATAAAATAAATAATCAACGGCACCAAAAATTAAAATATGGAAGGTGCAACTGACGGTTTGCTATAATTTAGAAGACAATCCGCGACATGACGTTTTATATATGACGTTCATAATCTAGGAACAGTATGAAACCTCGAAACCATATTGGGAGATAACAGAACCAATATAGAAGCAATATTCGATTTTCTACTGTATGTTCAATCAAATATAATAGAAAAATAAAAATAGTAAGTAAAATATAATTTTGAAAACGATACTAAACACCTCAGTTGTTCTGTGTCCATAAAAACAATAACCTAACGTAACCAAAACAGACCTAGTATTTATGATAAAACGTACGAACATTAAAATTTCTCCTTTTTTTCTTGAACATTTTTTGTAATCCTAATGTCTCATTTGGGTTTTATAACAATTTTAGTTTTAAAATAGGAAGTCAAACTATAAATTAAATTTAAATAAACTTATCAATAACCACCCAAAACGAATATTAAACAATATGGATAATTAACTTAAAATGTTGCAATTGCATATTCAAGATTTCACCACTATCTTGAAAGGAATAATCTGAAGTAAATTAATTCCGGAGAAGCCACAAATGGAAGACAAACAAGTCATTAGAGTCGTCCACTAATGATAGTGTCCAAGAGATCAAGGCGCCATTTTCTTTTAAGTTAATTATACAACTACTTCTAGAAAAGTACAGTAACTGGCTATCAGGTTCTGAATCAGCTCTGATAATTAATTGTGAATGAGTTGACCTGAAAGAAATCGAATGTATTAGGTAGCGAGGATGAGTATGGTTCTATAGTAATAGTATAGTTGCACTCTTCATACAATAACGATTTTCGATAGTATCGGGGGCCCCAAATCTTTATTTTAGAATTTTCCTTTATCTATAAAAAAAATGTAGTTAACTTATTGTTGACAATCACCAAATGTGCTGGCGATACAGGAAATAATGACATGACAGGCATGGGGAAGGAAAGTAACTCAGCAGTACCTCTTCCCTAACTTGTTCCAATTACTTAAGTTGTTAAAGGAAGGAGATCTCTGATCCAACGCCTTTTTAGTCTCCTCCTCATATGCTAAGGAATATCAGCTATGGCCATGTCCCTTATTAGTCTGTTATTATGTCAGTTTAAATTAGTGTAAAATCGTTGATAAAGGGTCGTTATATGTTGGTCAACTGTTGAAAAGTGGAGGTCAGTATGTAGAGTTTTGTTAGTCACGTAGCAAGGTGCTTTTGTTATGAGTCGCAATAATTTTGATTGGAAAGTTTGTGAAAGTTTTTGTAGATGGGTTTTTTTAAGCGATACCGTATATTTGTGATGAGTGCGTCCATATGGATTTAACTAAGTATGTATATGTATTCAGTTTCTTTTTTAGTTTTAGTTTTGAAGATTTAGAAAAAAGAGAGTAAAGTAGTTTGAGTCGTTTGTTAAATGTTTTATGTTCCATTTTAACATTCGGGCCTAATGTCATCCTTCTGTCTAAGGTAAAGTTAAGTTTCGTGTTCGTTTGAAGAATTTAATTGTTTTCAATATAAACTGGAGGGCAGGTGTTTTTTCGAAGAATAAATGTTATGTTTGGATTTGCCATGATTAAGAATTTTTCATACTGTGAGCCAATCTTGTAGTTTAAGTAAGTGTTGTAAAGTTAGTTAGGCCTGTGTAGGGTCTTGATATTTTGTGAGAATTGTTGTCTGCATAAGTAGTTGTCAAGATCTCATCGTTAATAGGTGTATCGTAAGTGTATATGTATAGAATTCGAATGAATTTATTAATCGGATTCCAATAAAAAAATATTATTTGTTTTGTTTCGTGGTGTTTTCTAGCACCCAGACTGTATTATATGGGCTATTTTTAGTTTCCTGAGCGATCCTCGAACCTCGGCTTCCCCAGTTGGCATGAGACTAAATTTTTTTCTGCCTGTTTCCTACAAAGTTAAGATTAATTATGGAATGAGAAGATGGCGAGAGAGTGGTGTATTTATACGTAGGGTCTATCCGTATAGACTTGGCTAGTGCAGCGGTAGTATTTCTGTACAACTGGGTCGGTCTAGGACTTATTGCTATCGCGGTTCCTCTCCGGGTTTCATCTGCCTGGAGGAGTAAATTTTAATCCGCCAATCATTGAAA